CAACCGGACAGCAAATCGACTGGCTTCTTTGCGGCTCGTGGCCGGCAGCACAAAACTCCCTTTCCGGGCTGTCTGGAATTTGGGATGGGACATCAAGGAAGAAAACTCATCTTGGCCAGTGCTACCCTCCATACCTTGACAAGCACCATTAGATAGGCTGAGACATATACACCCCAACTCTATAGCTCACGAGAAATACGAGAATCTCAAAAAGGAGCGCAGGGCAGGAATGCTGGAAGCCTCTACCTTTGACCATCGGAACCAGTTTATATATGTATGTATATATATATATACACGTGTATACATATATAGATAGATATACATAATGTAATATCCCTTGCACCTACTAAATCCTACTTGTATCTAATCTCATCTCAGATGCTCGATGTCCTCTCCACCTGTCAGCTTCCGCCTCTTGAAATCTCCCTGCTGCGCCGCCTCGTTTTCGTTTGTTAGGAGCTTCCGCGATTAGGGTTTAGGAGGCTCTTAACGCGAGGAATTCAGGATTCCGACTTTGAGCATGATGTCGACCGTCTCGTTGTGAGGCTGATTAGGGAGATTCTGACGCTTTCTGGCTTCCCCGGGTATCATCTTGAAGTGGCAGGTGCTGTCTGAATCTGTTTTGGCAATCGCTGAGTAGATGGTATCGTCATTGACAGATGTCGCGCTGATGATGGTAAGGGTATTGTGATATGCAAGTTGCTTCCGAAATGGAGCGACAGGCTCCATGCACCCGAGCCTAAAATCTATGGGGTTCTCGAAATTAGGATCCGCTTCATTCTTCCTTTGGAAACCCATAAACACCCCTTATTTCGAAAACTACTCGCACATCATAATATACAGGCACCGTGAATGAGACCAACACCTCGGACACAAAAAAAAACTCTTGCCAAACGAGCAGAAACATCAAGCACCGCAACCCCATCTCTGAGAAGAGCCCCAAACCCGAAACCCTAACGAAACCTAAATATCACCCTTCCGCAAGCAACACTCAGATACACAATTTCCGCCATGCAAGACTGGTTGCTCATGAGAGAAAACAGTAGAAACAGAGTGGCACGTGAGCTTCTGCCAAATACGCCATCAGGAGGCAAAGAACGCTTGCCTGGACATGCAACGAGGGGAAGACAAAGCAACACATCGGCGCCACCACATAGATGGCTCCAGCGACGTCACTTGAGACAACACCGACAAGATGCACGACAAATCAACGAAAGAGCGCCCAGCAGTGCAAGCCCTGCATACACACATACCATTCCAGGAGCACCCTTGAGGCTTCACACCCCATCATGAGACTGAGAATGGCAACTCTGGCGGATCACGATTTCGATTCGGAAACACCATTCTCACCCGCATACTTGAAGCATCACGGTGGAATCCCTTCAAATACCTAAACACGAATGCAGCTACCTGCAGAAGCTTCAAGTCAACGTGAATCACAGGCAGGTAAGGACGCCTTGTGGCCGGAGGGAGTTTCACGTTGCTCCCGTGGGAGTTCTCGCGGCGTGCCCTTGCGAATGCAGCAAGTGGTTTTCAAACCGGGCCTATGTGAAACCCGGACAGCAATGCTCGAAAGACCTGGGGGACCCCTTTCAAAGGCCCTTTGCTGAGCAGCTGAACGGTGTGTGGAGCCGTGGACCGAAGTGGAAACTAGCCTTCCCGAACAGGAACCAACGAAACTCAATATGTTGTCCTGATTCTCAAAGCCACCGAAATCGAGGCCTGAATTCCAGGAATACTATTTGCATTTTAATGCCCTTCAAACTCAATGCAGGGCTGTGGCTTGCACACCAGAAGCATGCGCCACCAGGGAAGATTCAAGTGAAAATGCTTTTTCCTCCCGCCTGGCTAAGACGAACCTATGATGCAGGGTCGATAAGCTGCAACCAGATCCACTTCAACCGTTGTTATTGAACAAGAGTCTTAGGACGCAGGGTTTACGGCACACTGGTCGCTTGCAGGCTTTGAGCAGGTGCTGCATCATTTGTGTCTTCTTCTGTCTGGGCCATGGTAGGCTGATCCTGCAGTTTCGAGCTATTCCCCTGCCTCTAACCTCGTCATGAGCCTATGCGCCACCACTCGCACGTCCTGGAAGAGCTTGGCATTCGCACTGCAGGTGATGTTTGCTTCGGGTATCGGAAAATTAACAAGCGCTTAGTACTGTGGAACGGCGACTCCTAAACCATCTTAAACCAAGCCTGCAGTGCACAGTTTAATATGGCAGAGGGTGTTATAGAGAACAAACAGGAGGTGAGAACTAGCCAGATCATAAAATTCAAGTCGCAGCACCATCACCCTAAAGAGCCTGAAGTCCTTGGCCCAGTACCTCTGCACGACAGACGTACTTGCCTCTTCCCTCAACCTGGATGCAATCGAAATTTCATTGCCTGTGCACGGCAGAATCAATGAAGGTCGTACCCGCTTCGAAAAGCATTCTTGCCCACTCGACACCACATCTTTGGGTTGGGATCGGGGTCTAGAGTCCAGGCACTGTTGGCTCTGGCCTGACAGGCTGGAAAGCCGATTCGACAGACTCAGAACCTCCGGACAGGAAGCAGTGTCTATCAGGAAGATGATGGTTGAAATGATAGTTCACGTGGTAAGGCAGGTGTCGGCAGTATACGCGTAAAGCTTGGAAACATGCACTGCCCTTCAGATCTGCAGCGCACATCATTCCGGGCTCTTGTGCACCTTGACCATACCTTTCGCTCTTGTCTCCCGAAATCACTGAACCATCCCCCCTCTTCGAGCTGCACGTGGGAAGTTCGGAGCTGCAAGGCTGCCAGGCCCCAAGAACCCTTAAGGCAAGCCCAGAGCACAAAGGTAAAGCCGGTGCGGCAAGTGAACACCCTCGACCCCCAACAAATAACATGCCAATCCTCGCTACTGTGGTGGAGGAAAGGTGCCACATGGGGCACCTCAGCGAACTTGGCAAGTCTTGGAGACGAAAGTCAGACTGCCACGTACTGTGGGTTGGGGGCACGGCTCTCCCTCTGGATTTGCCTCTGTCTTCAGCATCCCGGGACATGCCAGTCCCCTCAGGGAGCCCCAAAGCCGACAGCACCAAAGCCACAATAAGAGCACCACAAGAGTAGATCATCAGGTATCTCATGTCCGAGGCGCAGCGACTGAACCAAGGCTCTGCAGCACGTCTATGCAATCGAACCTTGCATCCTCGTCGCCTTGGCGCAAAGTGAAGCCGTCCAACATCACTCAGCGATTGGATTCTTCCACAAGACGTGAGTATCGATTTACTGATGTCATGTCTCTATTTCCGTATCTATCCGGCAGACGCACATAGACAGCTGCAGGTGGGTATACGGCAAAAGAGAGATTGAGATAGAGAGAGAGAGAGACAGAGAGAGCGGGGGGGGGGGGGGGGGGNNGGGGGGAGAGGTAGAGAGAAAGCGAAGTTAAAACCACTCGACAACAACATGCTAAATTGTTCTGAAGAAAGGAAAACACCATGGCCACTACACGCAGTATACCAATGCGCGTTGCCAGGTCTTTACCGCTCTGCAGTACTGGCGCTGAATGTCAGGGACTAGCCAGGTGAACTTCTTCATGCCGGAAGTCCGGAAGCCCAATCGTTTAGGGTTGAAGGTCTAGGGTTTTNNGGGTTTTGTGACACTCACACTCGGACAAAGCCTGGCTAGGTCTAGGGTTTAGGGTCTAAGTCCCGGAACCAGAAATCCTCACCCTGAGCCACAAAGCCTAGATTAATCTCGTCGCCGGTGGGCCCTCCTTGACACATCATAGAACTGGCAGTATGTGAAGCAACAAGCCTCAAAACCAGAAATATCGGCTGAGAGCGTTTCGGAACATAAGGCAACACAATTTACAGCTTACATAAACAAGCATGGGGATCTCCAATGTACGTACCTCCAAGAAGGCCACTACTTGCAAGAAAGCCTTGATACAGCTGTGAGCCTCGCACCTAGCAGCGGTGCCACGTGCTCTGCAGCTGCAGCGCCCAACCCCTCTCTGCATGCTGGGTTTCAGGGCTTGCCAGACTGAAGGCCTCAATACTGGGTTCGGACAAACCCTAAACTCCAAACCCTAAATCCTAAACTCTAAACCCTAAGCCGAAAGTGTTGAGATTTCGTGTCTGCTCTCGGGTCTCCGAGAGCCTCATAGAAACCCCTACGACACACCAAGGGCCGACCGGATCATCCGGATCTTCTCAGGAGCTTCATCTAACACTCGCTACAAACATTCTGCATCTTTTTGGTGCGGGAACAGTGGCCAATATTGAACTAGTGGCTTTCCTTGGCACTCTTTGGTACTATACTCTGAGATATTCTCTTGGGCGTGCATGTTCATCTATATCATGTCTCTCTGTCTGCCAGATTGCCAGCCTGCCTGTATCTCTCCCTTCCTCTACGTATGTATGTAAACCAAAAACAAAAAATGCATGTGCACATCCTTATGCATACCATGCGCCAGCAAATGGATGACGTTCCTCCTTTATTGTTTCTACAAGTACGGTTGACTGTGCACGGTACACTATACACCCTCTATCGATATGTGTTCAGTATAAGCGAATGTACCTTCCGACACATGTGCCAGCAAATGGATTGTGTTTCTTCTTAATTCTTTCTACAAGTACGGTTACAGAAGCATGTGCATTGCACATCTAGAAGACCTACGGGCTGCTGAGCAGTCGACCAGTCCACAGTGCTACCAAAGAGCCGACTAATCAGGCCGTTTCTTTGGGTCGAAGTAAGCGCAACAGCAATTCCGGCGCTTGCTGGGGAATCCGGAACTATGGATGCCGAAACTGTACATGCAAAAGCCTCCCCTCCGAACTGGAAGCTCCACATCTGCCACCCGAAGCTGACAGGAAACTCAAAACGTACAGCTCCCTGTCACTCTGAAACCTCAAGCCGAAGCTGTCAGCTTCAACTCTGAAGCCGGAAACGGTTGCTCAGGGCTTCACGACCCCTAAATCTTCAACCCAACAGAAACCAAAAAATTGAGCGAGATGCTCCCTACACCGCTTAGATCCCAAGGACAAAAAAGACAGCCTTGAGAAGACGGATGGCTCGAGAGCAGAGCTTCGGATCCTCGCGCTGAAGAACTGAAGCCAAGGCCTTCGATTCAGAGGCTTTTGGGTGCCTTTTTCCGTGTGTTTTGGGAGCTTTGGGATGGCTATGGGGATACTATGGTAAGGTCTTGCGGTAGCTTACGGCCAGGGCTGTAAGCTCATTCCAGAGGGTATTATACATGAATCACATGGACTCCGTGAGCTGTTGTATAAACCCAAAAGCTCCGGAGGAGGCCTGCGAGTGCCGCTCCGCAGTTGGACTGCGCTCCAGGAAGCTGAGGACCTGGACCAGAGGAGGGAAAATTTGGGGTTTACGATCTCACAACTCAGACAAGCCAGGCGGCGAGGCCCCAAAACCTTAGGTTCTTGAAATCTCGGGGTTTCGGGTTTAGGGTTTAGGGTTTAGGGTTTGTGTAGTTTAGACATCGGGTCTTGGGGCCTCAGCTTGTCTGACAGTCTCGGGCCACTAGGCCAGGGAAATTCTGACGGTTTTACACATTTTCAATTAGACTTCGCAGAGCAACGGCGATGAAGGGGCGGCTCTCAGTGCGGGCATGTTTTTGGACGAATACCGAAATGACCGTTCAAGTTAAGGGTGCACGGTTTAAGTTTTTTGTGCTGGCGACTTTCCTTGCCTTGTCTATTGCAAACACCATGCCTCTTTTTGCAGGACATCCCTTGCACCTGCACCCAAAAAATCTTCCTGTTAGGCTTGGTGCCATATACATGCGACGACTTTCTTTGAGTGAAGCAGGGTTTGGGGACAATGAACACGAAACCAGGCTACAAGCATCATGACTGGCGCAATCGCCTGAAACTCTGAGCACACGGAGGTTTCGAGTTCATGGCTGCAACCCGAACCCCTCAATTCCTAAACCCGGAACCTACCTAACGGAGCTTGCAGAAGTTGTATACCCTCCGAAGCAACGCCTCGATGCGTGCTTGCCGCATCTGGCGATCTTCGTCCTCGTCTTCGAACCTGTCTGGGTGCTTCAGGATTTCGATGACAAAAGCCGCAGTGAAGGCTTGAGGTCTTGAGGGGCTCCAGTGGGTTTCTAAGCCCAGCATGCGTTGGCTTCATACGTCGCCGCGCCATCGGACACTCGAAACCTTAAACGAAACTATGCAGTCGTGGAGTCGTCCACATGTACTCGGAGTGAAATTTCTAGACAAACGTCCTTGACTCTAGAGCACATGTTCAACCTGAGGTATGCTTCCCAACATGGCATCAAATGCCTGCGATGTAGAGCTCTCAGAAACACATGATACCCTCACATCTCTGCCTCTGCCGACCTAAGTGCTCTAGGGCTGTACTAGCTTGCTGCAGGAACTCTTACAAAAAAACGCAAGGCGATGCTCTTATTGGAACCAACCCGACAGCTGCACAAGAATTTTGAACTTCTCAAGCACCCGCCCTACTTGCTTCGTACTGGAACATGAAGCACGGATCAACCTAGCCGAGCTGCCGCGAGAGAAGCAAGGCCACATAGCCTTGCATGCCCGTTTGCTTTCCAGTGGGCAGGGGTGGCGAGGGAGCGTCGATCGTTGAACATTGAAAATGCCAGGAGTGACCTTGGACCCCAACCTCTGCAACTTGACGATGCCACTGCCCACAACCATCAGTTCCCGCTCACTCTCCTGCTGTTTCTCTTCACTAGCGACAATAACAAAAATGACGGCGACGATGGACGATACGACAGTGGTCGGCGGCAGTGGCGATAATGTCGAACAGCCTCCTCGTCGCCAACACCACGACAATAATCATCAGCGTCATAATCATCATCATCACCATCATCATACAACGATCGTCCCATCCGCAATCCCCCAATCCCCAATCGCCACCATCACCACACCATCATCACCATCATCATCATCATCATCACCAGCATCATCTACGGCTTTCATCGTCAGTGCATTGTTGCTGCCATCAGCGTCGTCTTCATTGCCTGTCCCGGCAGCTGCATGAACCGCACCGACATGTTCAACAAACCTCGTATGCTTGTGAAAGATTTTGAATGGTCATGAACGATTTGGAAATCGTCATGCACATCATGGCCTTCGAAGCATCTACCATCCTTCCCGTCAGCATCACCACTGCCCGTTACCAGGTGCTACGACCAGCGCTATCGCCAGACTCGAACCACCAGCACACCACTATTCCAAGATGTGAACCCGGCAGATCGAAAAACAGAACTTGCAAGTGAGGCACTCACTTGCCTCAGCCGGCCCAGTGAGGCCAGACAGGCTCCCAAGCCCTGGCTGAGACATTCCGTCAAAATCACCGGCGGTATGATGGCTGTGATGAGGATGATGATCTTTAGCATGATGCCTTCCTTGTGGCAACGACCGTTGCAATTTACCATCAACGTGTCACCATTTGAAACTGGATGCTTGCCGCTGTGGCATGGCTCACAACATGCTGCTTTCTGTGCATCATCATGATGCAGACTGCGACCACCGAGTTGTGCGGATCGCACATGTCCACACATTTGTTCAGGCAGCATTTCGACCCGCCCGTTGTGGAATGTTTTTTGCAGCTCAGAGCTTTCCACAACAGAGCAGGGAAGTGCACACCGCCAGCCCAGGTGACGCACTCGTGGACTTTAACCCCTGACCTTCGATCCGAAACCTTTGGTGAACACAATCCCGAACACTTTACTATCGACGCTGCCCAGGCCTTATACTTCCCGGGCTGTTATCATAGAGTCTACATAAAGGTTCGAAAGCTTGTAAGCATGTCTGCTTGCAATCCTTTCGCACTTCCACCTAATTGTATTCAACCCCCTATACCAAGTTTGGAAAAGGTATAATTACAACACTTAGGCAACCCTTGAAAACCCCATACAGTATTTTTTGCCGGAATGCCAAAACCTGAAACCCCCAAGACCTCTGGACTCGAATAGCTCGCCACTTTCTCAGCCAATGGTCCGACCTCTCCCGGGCCAGCGCTTCTCGTGTTCTGGGTTTGAGGGGCTTCTGTTTTCAATGTAGGGGTTATAAGCTATAAGTTGTAGCGATTACATGGTGTAAGAGGGGCTTTATGATGTAGGGGTTATAAGCTATAAGTTGTGTCGATTATGGTGTAAGCTGTATGAGGTTTCAGCACTCGCAAGCCGGCAAAACCACGCGAGGTACGAGCTCGAACTCTCAAACACGAATTATTCCTGCATTCTTAGGGCGGGAATCAAAAGGGTGGTTGGGCGGCTTCACCAGGCTGTACAGCAGTGAACGTGTACACTGCATGCCTGGTCCTCTTGCACATTAACGCCTTCCCTGTCTGCTGGACTCTGCGTCGTCGCAGCAAGCATTCAGAATCATGCAGTAGTTTTCGTGCGCAAACTCAGTCGCCTGCATATTTTCCGTTCATGAGGCCTCCATGTGTGCGTGCCAGCTTAGATTCCAGTGCCAAGTTCCGATGCAGGCAGGCCATACAGTCGACTTTGTATGTGGTGACATTGGTGACATGCCTGTAAATTCCACGCAATGTTCCTGCAGGCCTGCAGGTCCAGTGTTTCGTGCTGACAACACTGACATGCCTATAAACTCCATGCAATGTTTCTGCACATCCAGAGCCCAAGGACTCAGGACGTTCCGTCCCTGGCAGGTGCCGAGTATGCTGTCATGTCCATCTGATCTTGCATAGCCTCTACGGGGCTAGCCTGGCGTGTTTACGAACGAAGCGGATGTGCAGAACATTCGCCGCCGAGTAGTAGAAACCCTCCAATGCGGGAAGACCGCTGTTCTCAACATCCTTGAGGGAACAGACGAGCTGGCATTCTCCTTAATGCACGCCCGACGCTTGCAACACAATTAGGCACGCATGCAGGTACAAGTTCTGCCGAAGTTTTGTTCTGAGTGCACTTTGCATCATCAAACCTGTCCGGTACACCTCATTTGCCAACACGTTGCTCAAGCGAAAAACGGGGGTTTCCGAAAATAGGGGACCCTAACATAGTACCCTAAATAATGGGCTCCTTAATATAAGGACCCCAAAATAAGGTACCCCTTGTTTTCGGAAACTACCAAATAAGTACTTGAAAGGTGTTGGAGTCTCCCCGCTGGCAGAGACCCATTTGTCCGAATTGAGACCCACGTTGCGATCGCCCATGAGGACTGAAGAGAGGATTTTTCCTGGTTTCCGGCTACAAAGACTTAAATACCTTGTAGACGTCGTCGAGATTGTCACGGAGGATCTGCAAGAAATTGACAACCCAGCCGTCGATTTGTTTTGACTTGGTCTGGATTGGAGCCAGACTTTGCGTGTCCCGTCACTCTTTCTCTTTCTCACACGGTTGACAAGGACAACGACGAACTTGTCTCCCATCTCCTGCCTGCATCTACTTCGGTGCCCGCCAAGGCATCCAAGGCATCCTTCAGTTCACCTCCTTGAAGCCCGTTTCGTCTCCAAGGCACCGTCTTTCAAAGTTCAGCACCGAGGCATTGGAAGCATGAGGCATATGGCATCTGTTAAGTCGTGGCAGGCCGGGCAACCGGGCAACTCCAGCCCTATTGAGCGTGCTGCTGTGACCTCGCATCGCCCGGTTCGTGCCTGCGTGTTGGCCTACCTGCGCCTGCCCGTGCTTTTGACAACAAGCCACGCGAGGTTCGGGCAACGGGGTGAGCAAGGAGTGCGATCAGCACGTGATCTGTGCAGTTCCCCGTGTCTACATTGAGAAACAGCCCGTCAGGCCCCGAGACCACGCCACAGCCGACGGATCTCGCGAGACGTTCTCCAGCACAACAGCCAGAGCCAGGAAAAGGGTGGGGCCCGAGCCGGGGCTTGTGTCCTAGGGCTGTGTTCCAGTTTGCACTTATCAAAAGGTGTCACTTTGCCCTCTGGCCCTCCGGCATGCAGGTATGACGGGTCCGGTCTTGCCGCGCAAATCTCAATCATCCGTGCCTTGTGCATAGGATTGCATAGGTGTTGACTCTATACCGTCTGGCCATGGATTGCCATGTACAGATCGACATGGTGGGGCTGGAATACAACCTAAGCCGATGACAATGCACCGCCTCGCTCTTGGCTTGGCAGCGCTCCATGGCACCCAGGCCTTGGGGTGGTGTCGACATCCTCGTTGTGATGGCGATCATCGTCCATGCGATGGGAACCAAGGATGCTAACTGTTTATTCTACGGTGTATACGGTCCTGCACAACGACCCGGAGGTTCTCTGCGTCGGATGACAAAACGGGCAAGCCACCGAGGGTGCTCGTCGTCATCCCGCCAAAGACCGAAAACTCGAGATAAGCAAACGGCCGACTGCCCATGATATCCACATAAGACTTTTCTGGGCTTGTGGAAACTTGAGACCAAAAGGCTGGTTGAGGGCTGATAAGGCTTGTTATCGAATCAAGGGACCATTTTCGAGCCGCGGAAAGGCATCTACGAAAGCCCCATGGGGTGGGCAACAAGGAACTCGGTGCCGCATCTAGGGGTGCATTCACAACTGCCTCATTCTGAGGCTGTACCCCGAAACCCACATCGCAAAGACGATTAAGAGCCACAGATTTGGAGCTCCTTTTCCGAACCCTGAATCCGAATGTTTACGAATAGGGCGTGAGGACGTCATCCTCGAACCTCTTGCAGGGCAAGGCATTCTCGATTGAAATGCTCATGGAATGCCCAGGAAGCAGATGTTTCCCATGATTTCTATGATGTTTGGAATTATCACCCCATACCCGCAGATCACGTGACGGCTTGAATCCCTCGTGAAGACCTCCAGGCTAGTATCGGAATCTGTTGAGCCGAGCACCTTTTACCGAGAGTCCTGCATATCCATGTCACAGAATCCTCCAATGCCTTGGCCTTGAACCCCCACAGAACCGTGATTCGTAAAGAGCCCTACAACTGCACAGATCGCAAGGGCTTGGGGATGCGGGTTGGAAGATCGTCCTTAAGGCGTCTGACTCTGAGATGGTTTGGGAGGTGGCCGGACGTGTGTGGTACCGACCCTGCCTCTCCCGGCAAGTTGTTGCTGAGGACCTGCAAATCGAAGAACGAATCGGAAGACGAACGGGGTTCTTCGTCCGTGGGCCGGGGCTGAAGGCCTATAGCTAGGCTCGGGTTGAGGCTTCTCCTAGGCTGGTAGTAGACCGC